CCGGAGACTGCCTCTGGCTGCAGACTGATAGGATTCCTCTTCATCGGCCCTCAGGCAATCATCGACAGGTGGCAAGAGTTTTTGTCAGCAGGATGGGGTAATTGTTCCTGCCTGGAGGTTAATTGTTATTCTCAGTCTCTTAAGGGGCAAGGTGTTTTTTCAATAGGGTGGGTCAGCTGTCTTCCCCCCAGGCAATACCACCTGTATATCAATTGTCTGCTCGAGAAAGATTACCTGCAGCATGAGGGACTGGCTCAGCACCGGAAACCGGGGTGTCTGCCTTTTGAGCTCTAACCCCAGAGCCCTCGATCCTGGCTTCTGCTCACACAGCTCCAGTCCACTCCGCTGATCCTCTGTCATAGCACAAGATGGGTGGCTCCACAGGGGATTTTATGCATTGGCCCTGTAAGAGGGTGCCTGAATTTCCAGCCGTCTCTCCCTGGCAGACAGCTAACCCGCTGCTTTTCACAGCCAGATATTATGCGGGTACCCTTCTGAGTTCTGGTGCTCTCTGCTGGGGGGTCCAGCTCGGGAATTAGACCTAGAGTTCTCCGTGGCAAGCCCCCAGCCAAGACATCTCTCTGGAACTTAAGCTGCCTTCTGTGGGCGCCCGGCCAGCCCTTCGCACCTCCGCCCCTCCTACCAGCCTCTATGCAGTCTCCACTTTTGGTCCTCCATTATCAAGATTCTCTCCAGCGAGTCTTCGTTGATCAGTAAGTTTTTCTGTATTTTAGTTGTAATTACAGTTTCGACCTGGGATTATGTCTGGGCAGCATCAATTTACTCTGCCGCCGTACTTAATCCCTCTGAAAACCTTTAAAGTGCTGATGTAATGTGAATGAAAGAAGATCATTTACTGTGGGACATGTCTCATTTACTTTATTTAATGTTTTCTGTCTCCATTTTTATGGTTCCTACTTTTTTTTTATTAAAGTTCTCACTGATTTCATTGAGCATCCTTATAACCAGTGTTTTGAACTCTGCATTTGGTAATTGTCTCCATTTTGTGTACTTTTTCTGGAGTTTTGTTCTGTTCTTTTATTTGGCACATGTTTCTTTGTCTCCTCATTTTGGCTGCCTCCCTGTGTTTGTTTCCGGGAATTGGGTAGAGCTGCTACGTCTCCCAGTGTCGGTAGAGTGGCTTTATGTAGTAAATGGCCAGAAGGGCCCAGTGACCCAGCCTCCCTGATCACCTGAGCTGGGTGCTTCAGGTGCACCCCGAAGGTGGACTGTGTGCACCCTCCTGTTGTAGTTGAGCCTCCATTGCTGTCAATGGAAGGGATTTACCCCCAGGCCAATTGGCTGTGAGGACTGGTAGTGATTACAGCAGAGGATCAGCTGCGCAGGGGCCAACGCCACGCACTTGCACTAAGATGGTGCCTCGGTGCAGTCTGAAGCTGTCCACCAGGTATGCTGGCTCTGGGACCTCCCAGGAGGTGCAAGCCACGGTCAGCTGCCACCTGTCCCCTGCCAGGGGGCCACCCAGATAGGAGCTCCCGTGATCTGCAGGTGTTCGGTGCAGTCTGAAGCTGTCTACCATGTGTGCTGGCTCTGGCACCTCCCAGGAGGTGCAAGCCACCGTCAGCTGCCACCTGTCCCCTGCCAGGGGCCACCCAGATAGGAGCTCCCGTGATCTGCAGGTGGCTGTGCTTTTGCTGGGCTTGGAGGTGCCCACAAGAGGCCAAGCTGTGACTCAAAGCCGGCTGCTGCTCTTGCTGGGCCGGGGGCCACTTAGCAAGAGGTATGGGGCATGCCGAGGCCAGATGCTGCTGCTTGTTTGTGGTTTGTGAACTTTGAGAGATTGTAGGAAGGTCTGTAGCAAGAGTCAAGACAGGCTGTTTGCATGGAAAAGCCACAGGTAATGGCTTGGGTGGGGCCAGGTGATTTTTAACCACCACCTGTGTGGGGCCAGTTGGTTCTGAGTCTCCACTCCTCTGACCAGTCTCCTTGTGGCTTCTTCAGGTCCCTAGTTCTAGGACTTCTCTTCAGCTAGATTTCAGGTGGTTCTGAATAATGGTTGTTTTGTTATTAGCTTAGTTGTAATTTTGATGTGTTTGTGGGAGGAGGCCGAATATCGCATTTACCTACACTGCCCTCTTGACAGGAACCCCCTTTGTTCTATTTTATTTAGGTTTATTGTACTTTTTCTAATTTTCTTGGTTGGGGATTTAATTGTTGTTCTTCCATTTTATTAATAAAAGTACTTAAGCTATGAATTTTCTTCTGACCACTGCTTTTATTATATTCTACAGATTCTTTTTTTTTTCAGATTCTTTAATATAGTGTGTTTATCAGCATATTTCATTAGAAATTCTGAAGTTATTATTTCTTCTTTTCCAAAGGATTGTTTCAAAGAAAGTTTTTACATTTTTTTATTGAAGGGTCTTTTTGTTTTCCATTTTAAATTTGTTTTTAGTGAAAAAATATAAAATGAATTTTTAGTTATTCTGTTTATAATCAGAGAATGTGGTGCGAATTTTACTTTATGAAACTTACAGTGATTTTGTGGTGACTTCATAAATAATCAAATTTACTGAATGTTTCATGTACCCTTG